AGTCGCAGCCCACCGCGCGCATCACACCCGCAGGAAGAGTGACTCGCCGTGCACGCTCCCTCTCCCCTCCTCCCTTCATGCCCACGGAGGAAGCAGCAGCCACCCGCAACCGTCAGCACACGCCACAAAAGAAGCATCCAAATCCACTGCAATGTGCATCTTGTGCGTGCATGTGGTTGTGTGTGCCTGCAGACACACGAGGCAGAGAAGTAAAAACAGGAGCAGAGCAAGTGAAGGGACGCACAAACAAAAATGTACAGCAGAGGTGCATGGCAGAAATAAGGAAAAAGACTGCCCAAACTCATGATATTGCACTGCATACGAGGCAGCGGCAATTCATAAAAATTCATTAAAATAAAAAAAAAATCATCCTCACCTTTCAACCCCTCACACTTTGAAAAAAAAAATGAAAAAAAAAAATTGGAAAAAAAAGTCGTCCCCTATTACGGCTACACCCACACAATAAAAAAAACATACACAAAAAAAGCACCTAACTACCATGTTGCTCCAGAAATTGTCTGCATACATTTTGTCCTAAAATAAAATTAAAAGATATTTAAATGTCTTTCAACCGTCCGACCCTCCGTATGTCCGCACATCGTTTATATTTCATGGGGTCATCTGCGTGTTGCTGCTCCCCTCAGTCCTTTTATTGGTGCGTGAGTGCGGCCCGCAGAGCACAGTCACTCGTGTGTGTGGGGACTGAGAGAAGCACGCAGAAATGACGGGAGTCGCGTCACTCCATCGGGAGAGTGAGCGCAGCAAAAACAAAACAAGAGGGAAAGAAATATGTGCTCCGCCCCACAGGCCCTCGCCGCACGCCCACACGTCACGGCTCCCTCAGCGCGCCGTTCGTCGCGGCCCCTCCTCATGCGTGCAGCAGGCGAGGCGCACAGGGCCGTCGTCATGAGCGTGTCGGTGGGTGTGCGAGTGGAGCAGTTGGGCGGGAAACACACAGCACCCCTTGAAGGAAGAGTGCAGCAACAAACAATTAAAAGAGGGAAGAGCAGAAAAGAAACGCCCATTGTGATTGCCTCAAAAGAAGCAAAAAAGAGAGAATGGGGGCGTAAAAAAAAATGAAAACATTTAAACACAAAAAAATGATTCTGCAGGACTTTCATGTGCCATGCAGCACAAGAAGATCGGGGGCGTATACATATTCCCTGCACAAACAAAAAAGAAAACCAAAAAAGGTTGTACCCTCCCACAAGCCCACACAACATCCCTTATATTCCATGCGGCATCCGGCCTGCTCCTCCACTCCTCGTTTTGTGCAGTCCGCCGGACGCGCAGAAGTGACGCCGGCACCGCGAGTGGGCAACAAAAGGGAAAAAAAAGTCGGAAACACGTCACTCACAACGGATTGTAGCAAACAACCATTAAAAAAAAAAGAAACTGAGTATTCGAAAAAACACCAAAAAAAACTGAGAAAGTAGAAAAATATTTTTTAAAAGAAAAAAACATTAAAGAAAAACATCAAAAACCGCATGAAGAGCGGCACGTATTCTCCGTCTGGAGTCGCAATGCCACACTCGTTGCCTCACAATACTGCCACAGCTCCACACAGTCCCAGAAGAAGAAGCATCGACACCCGAGACACGCACACACGCGCAGTGCTGTCGACATTCCAATCATGCAGCATCAATTTCGCGTCTTTGAGCAGGGCGAGGCGGTCGTCTTGGCTCGCGCCGCTCCCGGATTCGGAGTGGTTATTTTCCGGAACAGGGGTCTCGCTTTGTTTGGGCAGCAATCCCTCACTTCCAGCCAGAGACGCCATGCTTTCTTGTACTGGCTGCGCATCCCCATCTCCAGTGGTCTCCCTTGACTGCAGAGTTGGTGGGTTTGCTCCCTCCTCCGGCGCGGATTGTTCTTCCTCCCCCATCGGGCTTTCCACTTCCGTAGTGAAGAAATCCTCGCTGTGCGTTGTCCCAAATTCACCTGCTCCCGCAACAGCGGCCGTAGGCGAATTGTTGTTTTCGCCAGAGGCGGCTGGTGCTGCCTCCCTCTCACTGCCTGTTGGAGTGCTGGTATTGCTTCCCGCTTGGTGGTCGTGTTGCGCCACGGCAGCCTCGGCGTCTCCCTGTGGCAATGGCTTCGACTGAAGAGCAGCTGAGTCAGCATTCTCCGATTCGGTGCCACGGCCGGACCCAATACTCTCTGCACCAGGGACGGGCGCCTCTGGTGAACTTTGTCTCAAGAATTCCGGGCGTACCGTCCTGCCCCACACCCTCTCCTCGTCGTCCCATGAAACCACGGGAATGACACTGCCGCCGGTGGCGGATATCGTGCACACCTCCGCGTACTTAGGGCAAATGACATTTTTCTTATTGTAGGGTGGTGTGTCCCACGTAATCGTCTCCTCTTCTGTGCATGGGAGCCAACGGACGTTACGCTTTTCAGGATTTTTCAGATGCACCTGCATGCCAAGACACTTCAGTTCCGCCTGCGTGGCAGCACTCAGATACGTCTCCTTCGGGTACCTTGCATCTGTCGTGTTGGTGGGAAGCGTGTCCAGACACCACGAAGAGGGCTTATCCCCGGGCCTCGCAGACAAATATTCTCCCTTCTCAAAAACAGCCTCAAGGTCCCTCACGTCCATCGCGGGATCAATGATAGGGCAACTGTCCATTGAGTGCTGTTTTGAGAATTCAATGATGCTCCGCCGAC